CCCCCAAAACCCCAAAACCCCAAAACCCCTTTTTTCTCAACCTAATTTAAACCTGTTTTATTTAGGTTAAAACAAAAATATGTAACTAATATTTTCGTATTTTCTAGAATATCCCCTCTTGGTTACTTTTAAAATGCAGCGCTTTAACACTGGAATTAAAAAGTAAGCACACGACTAATCTCAACTATAGTCGTTGTAGGATCAGACATCCCAATACTAATACTAAAGACAGTCCTAAACCCACAACTCCATCTCAAAAATATAACTTTAAGCTTTAAAAGACCCGACTAAACTAGCTCAGCGCGTTCTCCCCCAAACCCAAGGTCTAAATTCCTAAACACAGCTACTTCCGACCCAAACCAGGCCCCGCTGCTCCACTAAATTCAACACGTAATTTAAAATTTCCAATCCACTATTCAACAAATTTAGCTGAAGGAATTACTCTGGACATAAAATTTTACGAATCTTGGCCAAATCCTTGTTGCTGATGTTCAGGAAATTGAAGATTTTTGAACCTGATTTCTTCTTGACTGTTAGACTTAGCTGCTTTAGGGATTTTGAAGTTGAAATACTTTTCATTAGCTTTTGGAGTTTCTTTGTAGGCGTAAAAGCGAGGCTTTCAGGAGGGAATGTTAGTGATAGATTAGTGCAACCCTTTGAGATTATGGTGAGTAGTTTGTATATGTTCGTGCTAGTCAGAAGTCCATTGTACATGAAGTGAGAAGGTAGAGTGGTAGGAGTGCTGTTCAACCAATCTGAACCATAGGTCACTTGACTAGAGAAGATTTTTAGGGATAAACATTCTTTGGGCTTGATGATAGAAAGAATTTTAGGGCATCTTATTTCATTGATGGCCTTGTACTTCAAGAGAACAGCTTCCGGGTAGATCACAGGCATATCGTTACTATATATTGTATATTCTGAATCTTGTTGATGAGTGTTCATTGGATTATCTTGTAAATATTCTTTAAAATGTTCGATATTAAGTTCATTCTTTTTAGTAATATTAATGAACTCCAAGTCAAGGTAGCTATGAACGTATAGATATTCAGAGCCTTCCCACTGTATGGTTTTTATTCCTATAAAATAATCCCAAGAGTTAACTTCATCTGCATGAAAGGAGGTATACCTATCAAGCTTTGGGTCATGGTAAAACACATCTACATCTCAGAGACTCAAGTTATTCTCGCAGTTTTGGAGAGGCTTTAGAATTGAAGAGTTGTTTCTTATGATATGGTAAAAAGTATTTGGAGTTATACAATCCGACACTGTTGGCATTGCGAAATTTAGATTCTCCAGGTTTGGGAAATGCTTCGATAAACAATCTTCATCAATTTTTAATTTGCTGATTGGCATAGAACCATGCTTCATGCTCGGAGTGATATTAGCAGATTCGTTTGTTAATCCTACTATTCATAAACTCTTGATATTTTGAGATAATTTTTCTGGCATTTTTAGTAGATCTCCTTTAAGAATTGGAAGTAAATCTTTTTCTTGGATGTGAAGCTCGGAGCATTTTGTCTTGACTGCAAAAATATTCAAATCTTGCTCTTTTGCGAGATCTAAGATCTTCACTTTCTCAAACCAATTAGCTGCTTCTATGCCATATCATCTCTTGGTAAATTTAAGAATTGAGGACAGATTCTCAAATTGATAGTTTGTTGGGAACTTAATTTGGATTCATTCAGCTGAAATAGTTGAATTTTCTAAGCATTCGTAAGGCAAGTTTAATAGTATAGAGTTATAGATAGGCTTCTTCTTGGTAATGCAAATCTCCACCTCAGAAAACTTTAATTCAAGAGGATAGTTACACTTTTTAATGAACTTTCAGAATTGGGTGATTGCCTTTTTAGTTGAAAGAGAAATTTTACTATAACAGCTACTACAACTACTTAAGAATTTCTCATGCTCTTTCTCAAATCCTGGAGGAAGTTTTATTACAGGTTCTTTCCCAGAGAAATTCTGAGAATGCATTCTATTCTGAAAAGCTGTGTGATTCTCTAGGAGACATAACCTGGTACCTCTACAGAGTGCATTTAGTAATTTCTTTGACTCTTCAAAGCTGCCGTAGTACATCAAAATAGTAGAGCAATGGCTGAACTTTGTCAAGAGGTGATGAATAGGCATCCTTAATCCTAAAGCATCAATTCCGTGGGTATAGCTTTCCATTCTAATAAAAATAACTTCTTCAAATGTTTGACTTTAAATCGGGGTTTTGGGGTTTTGGGGTTTTGGGGTTTTGGGG